GATTTAAATACAAAAAAAATCCGATTTAAATACAAAAAAAAATCCGATTTAAATACAAAAAAAAATCCAATTTAGATACAAAAAAAAACCTGATTTAAATAGAAAAATGTTGATTTTTTAAAAACATTTATTTTAAAAAATCAATTTTTATCCCCCCCCCTGTTACATTCTCAACCCCAACTCGTCAGGAAGAAAGGACCCATTCCCACCCCCTTTGCTCTGGTCTTTCAGGCCCCTCATTTTTTCTGTCTGAGCTCAAACCTATAGCCTGCCTGCGCCCCCCCCCCGCCCCCCCCATTGTAGAAACTTGGCTTCCCCTTCTAAACATCTTGCATCTTTATCAGTCTGTGAATTGAACCCTTCAGCACATCTGGCTTCCCTGAAAAAGGTTGGTGCCTGCTTAAAGCTAATAGTGCAGATCAGGAGAAACGACATGCATTATTGTCCTTCTTTGGGGGGGCGGCAGACTTGTTTCCTTTCATCCGTCTTTGAGTTTGGACATTTTGAATAAACAGCGATTGAGGGACCAGATCTGCTTACACAAACTGTCCCCAGGTACGTCTTCAGTCTTCCTCACCAAACGTAAACAAGGAAGCACCGTTGTTATTTTTAGACAGGATATTTACATTTTTTCTGAGCTCTCTCTCTCTCTCTCTGTCTGTCTGTCTGTCTCATGGTTTAAAGCCCATTCATAATATTAGTATTTATTAATATCTCAAAAACCCGCCTGTTGTTTTGTTTTGTTTACCCAATCTGCAGTCTTCCAATTTGTAACCTGTCTTTTGAAACATGCAATCATTTTGTCAAAGCACCACCTGTTTACTTAGTTTGATTCAGCAAGGAATTTTATATTAATCGTAAGACAGTACAAGTAGGTAGATTTTTTTAGGGCTACGGTTGAAAAAGTAACGGCACGTTTCATTTGAATTGCTCGTGTTTTGCTAGAGCTGCTTTTAAATTTGCCAAATATATTCGCTCTTCTCTTAGGGAAATCCTGGAGCTGCGACCACAATCGGGCGCAAAATTTACGTTGCTAAGTGAAACATTTGTTAGGTGTCTTTGCCCTATTTTTCTTGCCACAGTTGTTAAGTGAATCATTGCATTTCTTAAGTTAGTAATGTGGTTGTTCAGTGAATCAGAAGGTCACAAAAGGTGATCACATGACCCTGGGGACACCGCAATCGTCATAAATATGAACCCGGTGCGAAGCCTCTGAATTTTGATCATGTGATCGTGGGGATGCTCCAATGGTCATAAAGTGTGGGAAACGGTCATAAGTCGCTTTTTAAAACTGCTGCTGTATCTTTGAATGTTCACTAAAAGAAGTGTTGTAAGTCAAGGACTACCAGTATATGATAGCACAGTGTTTCTCAACCTTGGCGACTTGAAGATGTCCGGACTTCAACTCCCAGAATTCCCCAGCCAGCGAATGCATTCGCTGGCTGGGGAATTCTGGGAGTTGAATTCCAGACATCTTCAAGTCGCCAAGGTTGAGAAACACTGTGATAGCATGATGGTGAACCTATGTGGGTGTGCGAGCCGTTGCCCCAGTTCAGCTCTGCTGCACAGGCGCATGTGCTGCCCACCGGCCAGCTGGTCTTCGGGTCTCTGCCGTGCATGCATGAGGGGAGTGCGAGGGCCCGTGCACACATGCATGGGGTGGGACGCATGGGGGGGCACATGCATGCAGAGGGTGCATGCACGGGGGGCGCACACATTGCATTTGGGGGTTTGTGCATGTGCATTGACACACGCTTCGGCCACTCGGTCCAGAAAAGGTTATCCATCACTGCCTTAGCCTCTCCTCTGGAATATTCTAGAAGATCACGGACCTTACTTGGTGCCCTAAAATATAAGCGGCATGCCATCTACCTTGAGCCTGCAATGCACTGTAGCTGCTACATATTTTTTTTAAAAAAATAGGGGTATATTTTTATACCCAGAAGAGAGAAATTCTGTGAAGTGTTTCAAGACTGCATCACTGCAGATTATCATGTGTGTTTTCCCTTCCTTAATTTATCTTCCGCTTGTCATATGAGAGGAATTAGCAGTACGTGGTAGTAATCGCTGAGAGATTTCCTACGGCTTTTCTACTTGAATTTGTGATGGTTGTCCTGATGAATAATTTCAGGAAAAAGGATGCGAGGCAGACATGTTTTCTCCGCAGAGTCTGCAGGGCAGTTTTTTTCCCCCTTCTGCTGAATGCAATAAGCCCAGTTAAATGGACTGAAGATTAAGATTAAGATTTAGTTTATTTGAAAACCTCTTGTCCTTCAGAAGAACTCCCGGGAAGTTCTGGAGGAGCTAGCGGGATGCGCGAAAGGATGGTTTTAAAAGATTTACGGGCGCGAAGAAGGACGGAACGGGTTGACATCCCAGGGACTTCTGCAAGGCGAGAGAGCCGTTATCACGGCAGAATGTTTTTCAAACAGGAAGCCGGAAAAGAACAGGTCAGAGGCAGAAGCAGCAGAAAACTGAACTCGGGGGAAATGAGGCCCCGCTCAAGGCTGCAGTGGGGCTGAGAGCTTTTGCTGTTTTTCTGCAGGATGTCAGGAGCCAGAAAGTAATGAAGAACTGGAAGCCAAGTGGAGGGCAGTGAAAAAACCAGAGCATCCCTTGCTTTGATGTGGCATATTTAATAGGGTGTTAATTTTTAATCCTGGCGTCCGGTGAAGCTACGTTGTCTTCAGCCGTCGATGCACCGTCGTCTGAACGCCACCTCCTTGGATGGGAGGCTCACCACTCTGGCCCAGGCAGAAATAAAAAGTGGGGTTTTGGGACTAAGCGTGTGATTTTTACTGTCTCAGGAAGGCTAGGTCAGAACATCCTTTTCTATTTGACACTTGAACATTTTATTATTTATGCAAAAATTGTGTTTTAAGCCCAACCTGGTCATGAAGTTCCAAACATAATTGG